GTGGAAGAGGCTTCCTGCTCTCTGAAGCTGATTAGGTTCATGGCTAATATATCCTCCCTGTGTAAAAGACAGTAAATTGTCCTTCAATGTATTTATTTCACTTTGAAATTTACTAATCTTTTCCATTTCTGTATGTTGTTTTTCTCTCAACTGTTGTAGACTTTCTTCTTGTTTCTTTTCTTGTTCCAGTTGCCACTAGTGCTGGTTTTCTTGCCACTGCTCTAGTCTCTCTTCTTGTTTTTTATCATTCTTTTTGTTTCTTTTATTTTTCCTTCAACAACTGCTGTAATCTCTCTTCTTGTTTCTTTTCTTTCTCCTCCAACCACTGCTGTAGCCTCTCTTCTTGTTCCTTTTCTTTCTCCTCCAACCATTGCTGTAGTCTCACTTCTTGTTTCGTTTCTTTTCCTCCAACAACTGCTGTAATATCTCTTCTTGTTTCTTTTCTAGTTATTCTTGTTTCTTTTGCTGTTCTTGTATTGCTACCATCAAATCTGCTAAGTTGTAGTTTGATTTGCCATTTCTCGTTTCCATCTTTTTCTTCCCACTCTCTGACACCAGTTTGTTGCGTATCTTCCTGTTTGTCAGTCGAAATTCTTTCCGAAGATCTTCAGCAATACAAGTCCTTCCTTGATTAAACCAATTTATTCTTCCTCGATACAAACTTTTAGTATGCAGAAAGTTCCACAATCAGTACGTTTCTCATCACTTTAAACTTAACAACTTTTATAATACAAGCTATAAATCACAGCGATTCACAATCTTGATAACTTCGCTCTCGACCAGTGCAAGACACACACTGAACGGCCCACTAGCTCAAAACTAACAGAATCATAAATTACGCAGAACTCAAAGTAACTACTGCTCTCTCTGCATTCATATATCCCGCCACGCTGGCTTTCTTCTGTCAGGCTTATATACTGTTACGACAGCGGAAGTCACGTGACTCTAGTAACACGTGATGAGTGTCTAGAAGATTCGCGAAGAGTCTAGTACGTGCTACGCACGCGCTTTTATTGTATATAAGTGCGCCAGATAAAGGAGACACTCATTCGGAATTGAATTGCAGACAGAGAGATATAGAGATAGATAATCGAGTCAAGCTGTAAGTAAAGTGCGTGAATCGTTGTGAATTCTAGCGTATGTTTAAGTTGTTTAAGTATGTTTAAGTATATATAACTGTGGAAATTAAGTGTATTACAAAGTTGAATTGAGAAAGAATAAACTAGCTTTAGTTAAGAAAAGACTTGTATGACTGAAGTTTCTCGGAAAGAATTTCTACGAAAAATTATCAAGCGAACACAGATGTAACAATACTAACGAAGAGGTCATATCCAAAACACTCGGACTTCCCCGATCATTCGAAAAACTCATCACGCGCGCCACCAGCGCCAATGCGCCAGCAGCGTCACGTGACTTCCGCTGTCGTAACAGTATTGTCATATTGTACTAACTTCTTTTATGAGTGACAATGTAGATATGCTGAATAATGGGAGATTTGTTAATATATTTACTGCGAGATAATTTTTTATTTTCGGACTAACTGAGCTCAAGAGAAATATAGAGACTAAACACAGTTATATAATCATAATAAACAAGCTTTATCTTAACAGATTGTTACGTCTCCGTTCGTTAGTTAATTTTCCGTAAAAATTCTTACCGAAGAAACTTTACCGATACAAGTCCTTTCTTAAATAAAACTCGTTTATTCTTTCTGAATACAACTTTGCGATACACTTAATTTCAACAGTCGCTTTATAACAAACGCTATAATTAACAACGAATGTCTCACGTGCTCAACAATATCCTGTCCTCATACATTAAATTACTCATTACATTGCCTCGCCTCAATTCTTACTGGTTTATATATATACAAGACTACACTATATCTA